TATACCTACATGTGGCTTCCAAATAAAGGTAACACTTCTGGCTTTTTCAGCTTTTCATGCTCTTGCTCAGCAAAACTGTTAATGCTCAAAGGTAGAATGGCATTTGCAATATAACTTTATGTTAGTGTTTGGCTGTATTTTTTTTTTTGTTTTGTTACAGTATAATTCTTTTTCTTTTTCTTTTTATTTTTTTTTATTTTTTGATGTTTTGTTAGTATAGTTCCTTAGATCAAGGAACCATGTCTTTAGATATTTTGTATATCATCAATGTATGGTGTTTGATGGATTAGGTGGAGTTATTAGAACAAACAACACAATGTTTCGCTGTTGACACTAGATTGCCTTTGATTTGTAATCTCTACAATACAAATCTGTGCAAAATAACAGCAACCACATCAACAAAAACTCTTAGTTCCTACACTAAAGCAAATTGGTATTGGCCTTATTTATGAAGAAAAAGAAAATCTTTGAGTAGTAGTAAAACCAAAATGGGATTGGTAAAGGGAGTTGGGAATTGCCAGAAGGATCCCAAGAACATGAAGCGGAATGCCACTCCACTAGAGCCTTTAGCATGTGTTTTCGTGAGTTTGTGGATGGATAATTTATGTTATATTCATCTGCAGAAATTGCAAAGCGACAGAGTGCATCTACTGCAGTTAATCACAAAAAATTCCAATGTAAAGGCCTAAAATGGGTATTTGAGGAGGAGACACACATTTGCATTTGTTTTTTTGCGTGTCCCTTCAGCAGAATGGTATGGAAGGCTGTTCTGCACCAACTTGGTGTCAGTGGAAGACCACTAACCATGGAATGAAGAAGCCAAATTTATTTTAGAAACTTGTAGGGGCAGGAGCATAAGAGCAAGTAAAATTCAACTGGCTATTGCTTCCACTGTATATATGATTTGACAAGAGAGGAACCAGAGAGTTTTCCAGCAGAAAACAAAGGATCCGAAGCATGTTAGTTGGCCTATTATTCAAGTGATTAACTTGATGTCTTAAGTATGGTTATAGTGTATATCCTGTTAATTTTTTATTCCTGGCCATTTTATGAGAGCTTTTCACTAGGGTATGCCCAAGGTACAGATGTAAACCCAATCTGGATTTTTTTTTTTTAACGAAAGAAACTAGCCACCATTCTCCTAAAAAATAATATTAAAAAATAATATTAAAAAATTATTCTTAAATCATTTTTCTGTTTTTCGGCAGTGCCCTTCCTGATTACGAGGCATGGACAGGACTGCGTGAACAGTTAACATTTTTGGGTTGGTTGTAACTTTCGTAAAATTGTTTTCTTTTTCATATGTATATATATATATACACACTAAAAAAGAAAGAGAAAAATTTATGAAAATAATACTCTTTGTTTATA